GTTCAATATATGTTCTTCCCCTAGTTCAGAAAAAAAAAGAAACAAACTACTTTGACACATCATCCTGCACAATAAAAGCTACCATGAAAAAAATTTTGTTCACTTTGTCAAATACATTCTTAGCTCTTAGTAATCACACAAAGCAATGACCCTATAAAAATATGCATGATGCTTGCTGTTTTTGTAATGTTCTCTATTTGTGCTTACTGTTTGTAGGTGAGTCTTCTTATTCACTGTTTTTATTCTTACTCTCTAACTTTGTCTTTCCTGTCTACCAGGCCTCCCCCTTGTCTACCTTAGAACTAGGAGTACAGCCAGTCTGACTAACCTAGAGCACCAGATCTATGCTAGAGGTACAGTATAGCCAAGCGAGGGCTTGCTTTATTTATTGTTTTAAGAACTGCCTTGTTCGTCATTGTTTTGCGAATGGGAGCTGAATGAGGGTATACCCATTTGTGAATACTTCGCTTTAGTTACAGAAAAGCACATTTCTAACTAATGAACAGAATAACACATTATGTCAGAAGTAAGGGATGTGCTGATTCTTATATTGTCTCTCTTCCATCTCCCTTAACCTTTGGTGGAAGTGGAGTAAATTCTATAGTGTATGATGCAGAAATATCCACTGTCAATTGAGGCCATTTCTCACATTGAAAAGCAAGTAGATGGAAGAACACCATGCCTGCAGTGCTGCAGGTCTTTGCAGAATCCTCAGTGAATGCTTATTCTCATTGGAATGCCAAGGGCTCTGTGGAATAGGAGCTAAAATAATCAGGAATAGAGGAGCTGAGAAAAAATTTCCCGGTAAATAATTGCTTAGACACAAACTTTAATTTCTTTAGATGTGAATTTATGTGCTTATGTGATGGAAGTGAAAATATTCTTTATTTCTATTTCTGACTCTTTAAAGTTCCTTGAGCAGTTGACTGGCAAGTGAATGTGGTAGAAAACCCCATAAACACTGAGGAGTTGGAATCTGAAGGTGTTCATTTTTTCCTTTGTTTTAAAGAGTATGATTTAATCTGAACGATTTATGTTTGGACATAATGGGTCATGATATTTTTTTATGAAAAAAGCCATTTGAGCTTACTCTACCAAGAATATAGAAGAGGGATATACATTGGGGCATTGCTGTGGTATTTTTCTAGAAGGTTTTACCAGGATGAATGTTTGAGGGAGGGCTCACCAAGAAAGCCCATGGCTGAATCTTCATTTATTCATGGATTTATACTTCAGAGCTTTTCTGTGTGTTATTTAATCTTTCAGGCTAAGCCAGGCATTATTCATATTTAGCTGATGAGGACAGTGGGGCTTAGGGAAACTGTAATTTACCAGCGTTCACTTGACTAGTTAGTAGCAGGACTTTAATCTACTTTTTATGGTTTACAACCCAGGTCCTTTCTGATGGACTGAGCTGCTTACATAGCATGAAAGTGTACACTGTTTATAATGGCAGAATTACTCTGTGAAACAAGTCCAAAGGAGTAGAAATTTCCTTAGCTGGAGTTGTTTGAATCTGACCTTGGACATGAGGGAGCTTTAGGTTCTCTCAGCCCATGAAGAAATTGGGTTTGGTCCCTGGGGGCGGATTTCCTGAGGCCATCAGGGAATAATGTTCTCTTTGATGGACTTGGGAATTTTTTTTCTCTGGTACTCTGCCAAAGCAAGTACACAGTTTATTTGGACCCCAGTGCGGGAGATGTCAGATTTGTTGCCTGATGTTGGGTTAGGATTTGTGTGCATTCCTTGTATTTTTATGGTTGGAGAAGTGGGTTACTAAAGGTTGTGCTGTTATGTCTAATCAACACAAGAAGCTTGAAGGCCTAAACAGTGTGCCTGCCCATGCTGTTTAATTCCAAAGCCGTATACTTGTGAATATCTTTGTATGGATTCCTAGCACTTTATTCTGTATTACAAAGTGATCAAAGCCATCTGCCACCTGTTCTTTTTAAATCTAATTTGCAAATGGAAACTTACAGTCTGGCTCACAGTGGGATATGAAAGCACATCTGGCTTCTTTTTCTCCTGGGTCCTTTATCTACTGTAATAAAAGCAGCTCTCTCATTGCACTCATGGAGAGGGAGGTGCCTTTCAAAGTGCCACAGTAAATACCGTTTACCCTGCAGACAGCTCTTAAATTTTTTACTCCCCCTCTGCTCTTGTCAGCAGCCTTACAGCTACTCCTTAATTTTCTACTTGATGAGCACTAATTTTTTTTTTAATGCAAAGCTTGGGAACTAAGTGAGGCCATTGGGGTGAGAAATGGGCATATTCCTCTTAGGTGGAGATTATCTTTAGAAGTATTTAGGGTGTTTCTAAGTGAGTGACCACAAAATTGTGGGAACACACCGGAGATTACTCATTTAGTTAGCAGATTATTCTATCTTAAACTCCTCTGAGCCATTGTCATTGTCAAAATAGAACTTGCCTTGACCTGAAATTGCTTGTTTCACAGTATTTATAGTACTGACTTCTGAAAAATAAAAGAACAAGAGGGAAAAAGGAGTGATTGCTTTTGAAAACGCAGTGATAATTACTGACTGTTATGATACAGCCCCATGCCTTATTCGGGAGGTCACAGAAGGCAGGACGTGCTGCAGTTCGCCTTCTTGATTTCGTTGGCAGAAAACTTGTGGTCCTGTGGGATGAATTCAGCTTTGCTTGTGAGCTCTCCATAGTCAGTATTTGCAGTCCCCTCTAGATACTGTTTTCTCCACAGCTGCAGACCATTCTCATGGTATTTCTCAGGCTGTCTTCTGCTTTAAAGTTGGACACGTAATAAGATTGGGCCACACCCTTTTTTGTGGGTAGTGCATGTATGTTCTGAGCGTGTCGGCCAGGAGGCTGCCCTGTACTGGATTGCTGCTGCCTTTGTGGTTCCTGCTGCCACCTCCCTCTTTGTGCGTGTGGCCAATGGAGGAGACATGGGCCTTTGGTCAGGGGAGCTGCTGCCCCTCCTCCCAGCACTCTCTGCCCCATGCCAGATGACACAGAACAGACAGTGGTGTCTGCAGAGGGATCTATCTCCCACGGGCAGGCTGGGCACTGGAAAGCCACTTTGGATTTCATATGTGTTTGTAGTCAGATCAACTCACTCTAGAATTTGGTTACTTAGTTTTGTGTTGATCACCATTTCTTTGCAATTTTCCTGATTCGAAACTCTTTCGTACAATGAAGTTATAGCTCCTTTTGTAGCCTGTGTAGTACCCACCCTTAGAACAGGTGGTGGTATCTATGTTAAAAAATGAGCTAGAAAAAGCTTTGGGATAGTATACTTCTGATTTTCCAGGGAGAAAAAAACGCAACTCTTAGTATAAGAGAATAGAAAAGAATGTTTTTATTTTCTTATAATATGCATGATATCACTGGAGGTTAACTTTATGTAAAGGGAGGCTTCATTATATAAAGCCTTCATTAAAAGCTTATTTTTTTATAAAGGCTTTTTGGACAAAGGTTAAATAAGTACAGGTAATATATATTGCTACAATTTGGATTAACTACTTAGAATGTATTTCTTGGGAGTAATGGAGGTCCATTTTTATTTCTTTCTTGATTCTGCCAAGTCAGGTTCTGATGCCTTCCTCTGAGCGATAAGCCCCATAGGATTGTTGGAGAATTGGGGGCTGGGAGCAGTCAGAGGGGCGACCAAGTCATCCCACAGCAGCCAGCGAATACCTGGAACTTTTTTTGTCCTATTGACAAACCTGATAGTAGTTCTTTCTCTCTTGCCTCTACCATCAGCCCATTTGGCAAGAAAGAGCTTTGAGCACTGTCTCCAGGTGTGGGGAGGGTTTCTACCACACAGATAGAAGCATCTGCTAATAGCCTTCTTCTGTTTGTCATAGCAGAGGTGAAAACCCCCAAGCGCCGACAGCCATTTGTCCCTTTTGCTCTGAGGAATCACACAGGGTGCACTTTGTGGTTTGCCACCCTGACCACCACGCCCACCAGGTAAGGAGCATCCAGTTTGCTACCCTGAGTCGCCTCTGCCACCAAAGCCTCCTTGTACCAGGCCAGAAGAGCAAGGTGGGCCCTTTCTTGAGGTTCTTGGGATTATATTTGAACCAATAACTTGCTATCTTGCTGAGTTTATGATGAAGATTCTGGTTCTATATAGAACCTGGAAACAGAGAAGGAGATCCCGAGTCTGAAATAATCAAAATATGACCTTAATCTTGATATACATTATTTTTTGTTCCTTTCCAATCTGGATGCTTTTATTTTTTATTGTTTATTTATTTTTTATTTCAGCATATTATGGGGGTACAAATGTTAAGGTTACATGTCTTGCCCATGCCCCCCCGTCAGAGCTTCAAGCGTGACCATCCCCCAAACGTTGCACATCTCACTCATTATTTAAAAGTGAGACAATCAACGGTGTGAGTAGGAAGTGTGAAAAAAAAGTCATTCCATCTTTTCTCTTTAGTCTCCATATCCCTTTCCCCTTTTAGAAAAGCTGTATATGGTTATTAAACTGAACGTTTGGCATTTTTCTCCCAAGAGTGCTTTGAAAACATTCCCCATCCTCCGCTACCTCTAAAGAATTATCATCTGTACCTAAAACACACTTCAACCCAGATGGAATTGGGTGGAGTTTGGAGAACAAGTGAGAGTTTACCTAAGCCAAGTGAGAACCTTTTATAACAACTTTCTGTCTATTTAGATCTTGGCTCAAGGTTCCAATACATGGTGATCTTTCCAGCTTACATAATGAAGTACATGAAATGAGTAACAGAATCAATTAATTTGAAAATAAACATTTCTCCTGCCTCCACTAGGTATGGCAGTGCTCTAGAAAAGAAGTTTTCTGTTTATTTTAACAGTTTAGGTCTATTAAATTCTATCTAGTCACCTACATGCTACTTTAAAAAGTCATGCCTTAGATTACATGTACCAGATTCTACTGCTGGAGGGAAGTGACTATATAATGATAGCTTTCAGTTATTTCTGAAATTTCAAATAATTTGTTAGTGAGCATGAAGGTGACTGTAGTTACTGACCTAGTTCATACTTTGGAGCCCAGTTATGCGTCTTATTGCTGGGAGTCAAGATCCAGAAGGGTTCTGCTCCTTGGCCCAGAGCTCTTGTGAGAGGGAGCTGGGGAGAATGAGGGGCAAGCTGATAGCCTCTGATTTGGTTCCAGGGCTGCACTGTCTCACAGTGGGAGTCCAGGGGTAGTTCCGGAAGGGAATGGAACATTTCTTGATGATGCGCACAATGTGAGTGAATGGCGAGAAGTCCTCACAGGCGAGGAGATTCCCTTTGAATTTGAAGCAAGAGGAAAGTTAAGACACAGGTAAAGTATGGCTTATTCTTTTCCTTAAAAAGTAAAAAGTGGATATTGATGATTGTAGTGTTTTGCCTTTTCATTTTCCTTATCGATGATTTTAATATTTTACTTTTAAAAGATATTTTGAGAATCAGTGTTTCCTTATATAATACAAAGTGTAAGCAGTCTTGTTATCTTGGAAATACATGTCTTTCATTAATTATCCATTTATTTGACATGTGAGGTGATAACCTGTGTGTTTAACATAATTTGGTTGAAGCATAGACAGAGCATAACACTTAGGTTTACCATGTCTTGACCTGGTTTTCATGATGTAGCAGTGCTGTGGTATTCTTTGCTCAAAGCATGTTGATTTCAGTTTTAATGTACAGATATGCTATATAGCTCATTTATTCATTCATTTATTTTTATATAGCCCAAGTCATAGAAGCCTATCACATAGTACTTTTAGCAAGTGGATAGTTTTAGGAAGCAGAGCCCATAGTGATAAAATAGAAATTCTAAGAAGAATAAGAGTAACTCATCAAGGGAGGCTGCTAGCTGATGCATTCCTGAAGTAGCCAACCAAAGGATTGGAATAAATGTGAAAAAGGTTATATCTGGTTACTGAGAGATCATAAGTGTCTAATAAAATAAATGTTCTATTATTTAGAAACATTTGTAAATGGAAGGGCTGTCCAGTAGATATCAATAGGTTAATACTTAGTCTTTGAATTGGTTAAGGTTTAGTATTTGAGTCTCATATTTGTTTTCGAACTGAGCTGAAGTTGAAGAGATTGGTTTCAGCTTTATATAGTCATGTGCTCTTCGTGGTGTTCTGAGTCTTTGTGTGCAAACCCACTCCCAAGGCAAGTACTTCCTCCTTTTGCGTAGCTTTGTACCCACACGCATTATTCCCAAGAGACAAGAGTTCTGAATGTGTGGGTTTCTAGGGGTCTTAGAGAAAAAAAGAAAATTTAAAAGTATCACTATGCTGGGCACATGTATCTGGAAACTACTTTATAATTTCCAGGGATGAGTGGTGAGCATTCTCTTGTTCCTCCACATAATTCTTGGAGAAGCTAACTATAGAACTGTTGGCAGTATTTCTTAATAAGCATAGCCTCTGTTGTATCAGAAATGGTTTGACCTCTTTGTCATTTCTGTTTTTGTTTCTGTGTTTCGTAACCCATTTCAAGTCCGACTATTCTGCTTGAATTCATCAAAATAAATGCCTTTTCTGGCTTCCCCTCCTTTGGCACTTTGCACCCCACTGCCTGCCTCCCTCCTCCCTTCCTGTCAGCCTCAAATCCAGTTCCCCATTTCACTTCTGGCTTGAATTAGGCAAAATCTAAAATAGAATTAAATGTGCAATTTCCTCTTGTTCCTCCTGTTCTGCCCACTGCCTTCTGCTCCAATTTCAGCCAAGCATTTCAGCCCTAAAACTCCGAGGGCTCTGTCTTGCATACCCTGTCTGTAGTTCTGTGGGGTTAAAGCCAAACAACTGAATGTGGTTCTGAGAAAAGTAGGATATTCAATAAAGGAACCAAGAAGAAATTTTTAATGCAAGAGTATGGCTATTGGGTAAATGGCTAGTACATTTTTACCACCCCATTGACATCATTGTTTTCTAAAGGTTGGGGTGGGGTTGGTGGAGGAAAGACCTGGGCTCATGTACAGGGTTTGCCTGGTTTGTACAATCCAGGGTAAATGCCACTCTTGCTCAAGTTTTATAGATTTTGCAATTTGTGTCGTAAGTGTAAAACTCAGTTAAACTGTGCTCTTGATTTCCCTTGTATTAGGTAATCCCCAAAAGATTTAGCCAACTGGGTTTTTACATCATTATGTAGTAAATCAGATTTGAGTCTTTGCTTCTACTTTTGTTCCCTTCTTGAGATTGTTGTGCTTAATATCTTTTTCTGTCTTCTACCCGACAGACACACCCATGACCTCCGGATTCATCAGCTGCAAGTGAGAGTAAATGGCTGGGAACAAGTGAGCCCAGTGTCTGTGGACAAAGTTGGGACCTTTTTTCGATATGCAGCACCAGATAAAAATTCATCTTCCTCTACGGTGTGTGGCTTAAAATGGGTGTTTCATGGCAGAGTTGTGCCAGGGCCACACCCCCTTAAAGCCAGTCAGTCAGATGGTTAAACCTGTGATAGTCTTGCTCTAGTGTAGTTTTCTTATTCTTGATTTGCCCTAATTCTAGGAAGAAGACTTACGGTCATATTGGGTCAGTTGTAGGTGTTGGTAATCAATATGTAGATAAGCCAGGCAATGATTAATTTCAGTAGAAAAAGAAGGTGTAAAATTGGCAGTAACATATTACCTCACCTGTGCAGATCCTTTTCATGCGTGGCTGGCCTGACTAGGAATTTACTAATCTGCCAAACATGAGTCCTGGCTGTATTTCACATATTGTTATGCTCGCTTTATGCACTGGCTTTTTTACATTTCTTATAATGCTGTTCTTGATCCTTTTTGCTCCATCTCCACATCCTTCTCTGTGGCACAAAGAAGTGTCTACTCTTGTCTATTTTCTGATCACACACACTCCCATGCACTCTTGCCCTAATTTTACACCATCCTGTAGTCCTCGGGGCTGGAAGATCTGCCCAGGGAATGGCGCAGGCAGCAGGCCTGGCTGGTGTTGGGGGGAGGCTGGCCTCCTGGCGATGCGGCTGATGCGGCGCTCTTGCCCTTGCTCCTTCCTACTCACAGGGTAATTGATCTCACTTTTGCATAGCTGGTGGTGAGGCGGAAAGCACAGATATTTCCAGCAGGTGGACAGCAGAGAAATATTGCAGCTTTCCTCATGCTTGCTTTCTTCATGAAAAATATTCTTGGAGAGCACTGTTCCACAAGTGTTCATTTTCACTGCTCTCGGGTGCCCCATGTTTCTTAGGGGAGAAAAAAAACCCAAAAAACTTACTTTTTTCAAAGATTACTTTTTTACCTAAGTTCATGTCTGATAACGAAAGGACTAAATTCGCCCGTAGATACCTTTCTATTCTATTGAAGTATTCTGGTCTTGAGCTCCTGGCTTCAAGCAATCCTCCGACCTTGGCCTCCCAAAGTGCTAGGATTATAGGCGTGAACCACTGTGCCCGGCCTGGAGTATTCTGAATGGAGAACTTTGGTATACATTGAATGTAAAATAGATATTGTTTTTCCCATATCTTTCAATAAAAGATGTTTTATTTTTGTAATAGACCATACTTTACCTGAAAGTATTTATAAACACCACCCTTTCAAGCAGATTATATTGTTATTGAATTTAACGATGCCTATTATCTTATGTCTGTGCTGACTCTCTGACTTTTGGAATCTTTCTTAGATTGGCAGCCCAAGCAGCAGGACAAATATTATCCATCCCCAGGTTTACGTGAGTATGCTTTTCCTGTTGTCATTGTGTTTACCGAGCATGTGCACTGCGCCTGAATCATACCTAGATGTGTATTTCTTGATGGCCAGGGGACTCAATAACATATATGTGATTGGAATTTATCTCTGCCCTTTTATATTAATGATTACCTTCCTTTTCCAAAAACTTGCAAGAAAATGTTTTCACCTAAGTTGGTGTGTGAGACTGAGTAGTACATGGAAGAAGAAAAGGCAGATGTTTTGGTTCAAGGTCTGTTTTTCTTTCTAAGTTAAAATAGAAATTAACCCTGGTATGGGCGTATGTATTTCATAGGTTTGGGTCTAAACATCATGAAAGTAAACAAGAAGCAAAAATAGTAAATTTTTTATTTTTCTTTTTTGGTTTTTGAAACACCATTACAAGATGACATTTAAAAACTTTTCAGGCTTTTGCTTATAATTTTTTCTCCCTGAGGATCTTAAGTTTTGAAATATAAAATTTCAGGTAGATCTGGAGGCAGCAATATCAAAATTTTAAATAATTGTTATTGGCTTTGAATATTAGGGCCTTGCAGGAGCTGGGTCAGTGGAAGCTTGAGGTTTGATGATGATTTATGCCCAGAATTGTGTCCTTCTAAAAACATTGTAGAAAATTATAGTTTGCCTTTCTATTTAGACTTCATAGAAGTCTTGGTTCAAATCATGGAGCTCTTTAGTTTATTGTTTATTAGGTTGATTTTCACATACTGTTTGTCTTAATAAAGTTGGTGGAATAAAAAGCTTGAATGTGATGCCATTTGTTTCTCCAATAAAAAAACATTGTTAATATGTTCTGGACACTCATTCTAAGAGTAATACTTTCAGAAACTTTCTCTTTGGTATACCTAAAGTGGGATTTTATGCTTTTAAGAAAATTTCCTGTCACATGGTATTAACACAAAATGTCTGTTGAATGTGTGAATGAACATATGGAAAAATAATATAATGGCTGTAACCCAAAACCAGAAATAAATAATTTCTCTCAGTTATGTTGAGTTTCTGAAACTTGGTGTCCTGTTTATAAAAGAGTGAATTTTGAACAGAACCTAGAGGGTTTTTTGAAGAAAGAAAAGTTTGTTTTTGAAGTTCTTTGAAATACAAATGTTGGATTTTGTATAGGCTTGCCAGTGAATAGTATATGGGCCTATAGAGTACATTTTATGACAGTTAGAAAAAAAACTTTATTATTTGTTCCTGTGAAAGGCACACTAATACAGACAATTCTTCCTTATACATTCTCTGGATTTTACAAAGATGAGTCTTAATCTCAGAAGGCATTCTTTTGTTTCTCTGTGTATATCTGGGCAGTACCCAACCCATTGTTAGTATTCAAGGAATGCTTTCTCAATTTAATGTTAATCTGAGAGAAAAATAACATAGAAGGGAAATCATATAATATTTTGCAAGGTCCTACCTCATTGTTTCTAATTTTAGTCACTTTGGGTGATCTTTATTTTATTGCC